CTCATTTTTTTTCTTTAAATTAGAAGAAACTATATTTTTCTTCTCAACTATTTTCAACGGATGTTAACTTAGTTAAATATAAAAAAATATATATATTTTACTCTAACCAGATCCGGCCTTGTACGTATGCAATAATTGTATTTGTACATGGCCCATTTACTTAAAAAAAAAAATCTACAGATTTTCTTACAATAAAAAAAGCCTCGAAATTTTTTTTTCTAAAAAAGAGAATCTTTTGCAATTTTTTTTATATATAAGGGTCAAACAAAAAAAAAAATTTGCTCTGGATCTAATTCTATATTGAGCCGAGCCTGACTCTAACTATGTCTACCAATCACACTAATACGACTACGACTTGAACAGAATCGGTAAAGTAATGAATCACTTCTAATTTAACAGGTGATAATAGTAAGTAACACTGACAAATCGGTTTGTGACAAGTTAATTTCTCTTTGATACTTTAGAAACATTTAATTGTAAGAAAGCTTTTTCTTGCGATAAAATTTTGACTGGTTAAAAGAGAACTAAGAATAAACAAAAAGTCCACTAAATTATTTTAGCTTATGTCTATACGTAAAAGCATAATCAATGGTAATTTATTAATTTAGAGTTTTAATTGATTTTTTATTATAAATTGTTTTTAGAGTTCTAAATCTCTAAAATTTAGAATTTTAAATATCTAAAATTAAAATATTTTATTAAGATACTAAGTATTTTGTGTATTATTTAATTATTTTTAATTTTTTAAAAATCTATTAAAAATCACTAAATACTATTGTTGATTATGCTCTAACTAGTCAAATTCTCAGTCATATTGGGTTATTCAATGTCAGTGGCCCAGTCAACAATGTACTAGTTAGCGAAGAATTTTCAAAGTTGTGAATACCAATAGCGAAGAATAAACAAGATAAGAATATGTTATAGTATTGGGTTGAAGAAAATTATGGACTTAAAATCACTATCTTTTAACTACATAAAAAAATGGTACTAGACTTCAAACCAAATGTATATATTTCAAAAAATCATCATATATGCAAAGTGCAAACATAAACGTAAATTACGGGCAGATAGTAAAACCAACTGTTACAAAATAATAATTAAAAATACAAAAAATAGATGTACCTTTTTATGTGCATGAATGATTAACAACTAAAACAACAGATTAATATAAAGGAAAGGAGAAAATAATGGAACAAATAAAAGTCAAAACCAAACAAAAATTTAACAATTACCTGGTGGTTGCCTTGTTGATAAAGTGTGGCATTCAAATGGTAAATTCCAAGTCGTCCATCGGTCCATGAGTCAGTAATAACTTACAAATAATTTGGCTGTAACAGAACGCGCAAATATGCAACTTCTGAATTTACAATATAAATTGTTCTGAAAAAAGTTTAAAAGCTTTTTTTGTCGGGATAAAAATCTAATAGTTTGGTGGGTCTAATTACAATTTTCAAAGCTTGTTGGAAACAAAATAATTTGAGGGAAATATTATTTTTTTGGTCATCTTGTCAAGCAATGAGATCACAATGGACTCTGACGCATGTGAACAAATAAAACGACGTTACCAAAACCAAGAACATAATATATCTTATCACATGCCTCTCACGTTTTACGTTGCTCAATTTCAATATAACTCGAATTCTGTACCTTTTGCAGTGTAAATTAACTTATTATATAATCCACTCGATGGCAAATCTCACCAAACCAAAATCTTAGTGGTGGCAGATAAAAAACAAAGATGTATAGTTAGAAGTTTGTACAAATGTCACTTTAAAACTTTATCATAAATAGAAATTTGTCATAAATCTTAAAAAAAAAAACTTTATCAGAAATAAAAATTATCTAATTGTTTTCGTCCTATTTGGAAACTTATCATGATGCCATCTAAAATATAAATTTCATTACCATATTTGGAAAATTATATAAATTCAGAACTAAATCAAAATACAAGACAGAGGACACTGCGTTATTAAAAAAATTATTTAGACATTTTTCTTATGGTACCCCAAAAAACACATAGGAAAAGATTCATCCATACCAAATGTATTAAACTAGACACATCGTTTATAAATACATAGGAAAAAAGGAAAGATTCTCACACTCCTCTCTCTCGCCTTCACCTCTCTTCAGTCTTCACACTCCTTTTTTCCCTTTCATATTTGATCCCCAAAGAAAGAAAAAAAAAGATTAGCGATCGATGAGAGGAAGAGAAGGACAAGAAGAAGATTCGGAGTCGAGAGTTCCACTGTTGAACAGCTCTCACACGGCGGAGGAAGACGATGGAGGATTAAAGAACAGAGTTTGGGTTGAGACAAAGAAACTATGGCGAATCGTTGGTCCGGCTATATTCAGTCGAATAACGTCATATTCTACGCTTGTAATAACTCAAGCTTTCGCTGGTCATCTCGGAGATCTCGAACTCGCCGCGATCTCCATCGTCAATAACGTCACCGTCGGCTTCAACTTCGGCCTCTTGGTAATAAATCTATATATATATAATACTATTGAAGTTTTAGGCTCCAATTTTTTCAAATAAAAAAAAAAGTTTTAGACTCTAAATGGAAACAGTACATGGCGAGATCGGGACGGGACGATCGGACCATGCATAGTCTCCATTTGGAATCTTAATTGATGGGATTTTATTATTTTGTTTTCAAATATTTTTAATATGAGGGGTATGTGTATAATTAAATTAAACGGTGTAGCTTGGAATGGCGAGTGCGTTAGAAACGCTATGTGGACAAGCGTTTGGAGCGAAGAAGTATTATATGTTGGGAGTTTATATGCAACGTTCTTGGATTGTTCTCTTCTTTTGTTGTGTCTTGTTGTTGCCGACTTATCTTTACACAACTCCGATTCTCAAATTTCTTGGTCAACCGGATGATATAGCTGAGCTTTCCGGTGTCGTCGCCCTTTGGGTCATCCCTGTCCATTTCGCCTTTGCTTTGATTTTCCCACTCCAACGTTTCCTCCAGTGTCAGCTCAGGAACCAAGTAATTAATCTCTACGTTTATGTTTAGATAGACAAGAAAAAACAAGTTAATGACATATACAATCAGAGGTTTTTTTTTTTTTAATAATCTAACTTAGATGATGAAATTTTATTTTTCTACTAATAGTTTTTTTCTTGGAGTTATTTAGGTGACTGCGGTTGCGGCTGCGGTTGCATTGGTGGTGCACCTTATAGTGTCTTGGCTGTTCGTGGACAGGCTTAAACTAGGACTCGTAGGGACTGTGGCTACGATTAGTATCTCTTGGTGGGTCAATGTTCTTATTCTATTAGCTTACTCCACTTGCGGTGGCTGTCCACTTACATGGACCGGCTTCTCCTCCGAAGCCTTTGTCGGACTTTGGGAATTCCTCAAACTCTCGGCTTCTTCTGGCGTCATGCTTTGGTACCATTTAGTATACATACATTTTGTGACATTAGAGAAATGTGTCTAAAACAACTTTTAATAGTAGATATGTTTGAGTCTTTTTACAGTTTGGAGAATTGGTATTATCGAATTTTGATTATAATGACTGGAAATCTCCAGAATGCTAGAATCGCCGTTGATTCTCTGTCCATATGGTGAGTCTTTCTTTACCAATCGTGTGTTACTGTTTTGTTCATGCTAATATGTTTTCTTTAATATAGTGTATAAAATTAAGAAATATTAACGATCATATAATCTTATCGCATCGTATTTCACGTCTGTTTTTTTTTGGGTTGTTGGGAAAGCTTATTTGTTTTTCTTTGCCTTCTATTATTTCTGAACAAACTAAATTAATTATTTGTAATCCCTTGTCTTTATGTATATAAATAATTTTTGAGAAATTTTTAAAAATATCATATTTTCAAAATCTTTGCAAAAATACCACTTTTTAAAAAAAAAATTTCATTATATCATTTATGTTTGGGTTAACTATGTTGCATTACGGTTTAGTTTTGAGGGTTTTAGGGGTCAAAACATTTTTAGGATTTATAATTTTAAGATTTAAGTTTTAAAAATTCATCATTAGTGACATTTTGGCAAATGGACACTCCTAACTAACATTCTTGCAAATGTACATACCAAAAATGGTATTTTTGCAATTGCTCCATAATTTTTCTTATTTGTTAAAAAAAAAAAAATTTCTTATGAAACATAACTTTTGGGTTCTTGCGGAATGGTTGTAATTGTTTTTCTTTACCTTCTATTATTTCTGAACATTTAATATTATTTATTTGCAATCCCTTGTCTTTTATGTATGATTAATTGATTATGAAGCATAAATTTTGGCAGCATGGCATAAATGATGATTCCTCTAGCTTGTTTTTTTTTTTTTTGGGGTCAAATAACAATCATATAATCTTATCGCATCCTTTTTTTCGTCTGTTTTTTTGGGTTGTTGCGGAAAGCTTATTTGTTTTTCTTTGCCTTCTATTATTTCTGGACAATTAAATTAATTATTTGTAATCCCTTGTCCTTTATGTATATAATTAATTTTTCTTATTTTTGGGTTCTTGCGGAGTGGTTATAATTGTTTTTCTTTTCCTTCTATTATTTCTGAACATTTAACATTATTTATTTGCAACCCCTTGTCTTTTATGTATGGTTAATTAATTATGAAACCTAAATTTTGGCAGCATGGCGATAAATGGATGGGAAATGATGATTCCTCTCGCTTTCTTTGCCGGAACCGGGTAAGTAAAAAGTAAAAAACCATTTATTCTCTACTTGCTAACTTAATTATAAACCGGTTTATGGCTATATATGATCTAACTAGATCCGGTTCGGTTTAGTACTTGAATACAACCATGTGAAAGTATTGTCTGGTAGTTACAATGGACACATGAAATGTAAGGATATTAATTGCCGGAGATCGTCAGTAAACGTGGTCGTTGTTGTGTATTTTCAAAGAGTTCTGAAAAAAGAGTAGAGTACGTGTAAATTGGTATTTATTGTCACTTGTGAGTTGTACGTACATGCATGCCTGCTTTCAGTGGACAAAGTTGACAAATGTACGACTATTTTTAAAATATGGAATTCGCAAGAATACTTTTCTTTTGTCGCAAGAATACATTATACATAACTTTTAATAATAGGAAACCTTTAGAGAGGAGCAATGTCCCATGGAAAAAATTAGGAAAATACAAAAAATTTACATTTGGCATTTTGGCTAGGTCCTTTTTGGCTTCTTGTATTCTTCTGTTTGATTTTTTATTCCTTTTCATTTGTCGTGTTTGGCTGCGTAAGACTTTCACGAGGATACAATAGATGACTCTATTTCTCTGATAAAGAATATATATATGACTTTTCTTTGCTATTATACACAAAAGTACATGGAAAACTCTATAATTCATTAATTTTGTGTGGAATTAGTTTTAAAAAAACACTATAGATGCTCTATATTTTGTTTTCATAGTATTTACTAATTACACTTTTGTATACCAATTAGAACTTTATGCAAAATATATAATATGAATCTGTTTTTAAAAATCCTAAATATATACATTAATTATTGCAGTGTACGTGTGGCAAATGAATTAGGAGCAGGTAATGGAAAAGGAGCAAGATTTGCGACGATTGTATCAGTAACACAATCGTTAATAATCGGATTATTCTTTTGGGTGATTATAATGATTTTCCATAACCAAATCGCTTGGATTTTCACTTCAAGTGAAGAGGTTTTAATGGCCGTTAATAAACTCACCCTTCTGTTAGCTTTCACCGTTCTCCTTAACAGCATTCAGCCGGTTCTTTCTGGTACGTTACGGT